GGTATAGGAAAGGCAGTGGACAGAGATACAGATGGCAATAACGATGAGGATGGAAGGGTGGAGAGAGAGAGAGAGAGAGAGAGAGAGAGAGAGAGAGAGAGAGAGAGAGAGAGGGGGGAGAGAGAGAGATAGATAGGTAGAAAGAGAGTACAAAACCATTTAGAGCGTTATCAATTTTCGCAGGCATGGAGGTCGCGGATCCCAAGTGGCGCACGCATATCGGCATTGTATTGTTTCTGCCATGGGCGCTTGGTCTCATGGCGTGGGGCGGGTTCGCTTACCTCGTCCGGGAATGGCGGATGCTCAGCTGACCGTGTCTTTGCTGTGTCTGGCCTTCTTGCCTACTCTGTGGTAAGTTTCGATGAGATTTCTGTGATACAACTTTCGATATCTGTGTCTATCTCTCACTATCTCTTTCTCTGTCTGTCTGTCTGTTTCAGTCTGTCTGTCTGTCTGTCTCTCTCTCTCTCTCTTATCTGCAAAGTTCACCCACACTAAAGTTGACGGAAAAGTCCTGGTGTGATAGACCCTGAACTCCTTCCTTCGTCAATGTCTTCCCCTTTTCCTTAACCCCTTCTCTTCCCATCCATCTCCTCCATCATCCCAGCCGCTTCTCTTTCTACCATCCGTCTTCTCCCCCCTCCTCCCTCCTCCTCCTTCCCCTCCTCCTCCTTCCTCCTCCTTCACCTCCTCCTCTCCTCCTCCCACCTCCTCCTTCACTCTCTGGATTATCCTATTAGGTTCATGGACGAGTCGCCTCGGTGGCTGGCCGTGAGGGGGCAGCACCGGCGCGCCCTCCGAGTGCTGCAGAGGGCCGCCAGGTGGAACGGGGTCGCCCTCCCCCCGAGGACGAGCTTCTGCTCCTGCTCAAGGACGGAGTCAAGGACGAGGTGCGAGCGCGTGCTTGTGCGCATGTGTAAAAAGGAACACACTTTATCATATATATATATATATATATATATATATATATATATATATATATGTGTGTGTGTGTGTGTGTGTGTGTGTGTGTGTGTGTGGTTTGTGTGTGTGTGTGTGTTTATATATATATACATTTTTTTTATCAATTTTCCTCGAAATATAAATCCTGTCACTCATCATGCTTCTGAATATACAATACAAGACAGAAGAATATCCTGGTTCATAATCCTTTTATTTTTTTGTATTTCTTTTATCACTTGATCCCGTGACGTAGGCAATGGTACGCCCGCACCAAGACGCCCGCGCCCACACCGCGAGAGGCTGGTTCAGAAGGCGTTTGGATGAAGCATTTATTCTTTTCAGGCAGGTCCACTTTTCCCTCTTCCTCCCTCCCCTTCCTCTCCTCCTATTCTCTTTTCTATTCCTCCTCCTCCTCCTTATCCTTCTTCATTCCTTCCTCATCGTCCTCCTCCTCCTCCTCCTTCCTTCTGCAAACTTTCCTTATACATTGCTGAAATATATCATACGATTCTTTATATGAATGAAAAATCTTGTATATCTTGTCTGTATATTTTGATTTCGTGGAAATATTGCAATTTCTCTGACATATTTCGCTATGTCGGTTACTGAAGCGTGCAGAGGATGTAGTCTCAAACCCACAGAATTATTTGATTATAAGATATGAATGGTATTAGTAATAGTGATAAAATTAACGAAGATGACAATGATAGTAAAGACAATATATCCTCCTACAAAGACGATACTCATTTTGCTTCTCCACCACTCCCCCACCCCCTCACACCCTCGCCCCCTCACCCAACAGAACCCCCCGCCTTCGCACCATCACCCTCAGCCTGTACACCAACTACCTACTGGTGGGTGCTGTGTACTTCGGCCTCTCGCTCAGCGGCGGCGACCTGAGCTCCGACCCGTTCCTGTACATGGTGCTGACGGGGGTCGTGGAGCTGCCGGCCTACACGCTGGTCATCCCCCTGGTGGCTCGCTACGGCAGGAGGGCTCCCGTTGTCGCCTTCTTCTTCATGGGCGCCGTGGCTCTTCTCGCACTGCCCTTCGTGCCCACGGGTGAGTGAGGTTGTCTGGGGTGGAGGTTTTGTTTCATGAAATATGTTTGAGGTTTCATAATGAAAAATCTGAGAAAAATGAAAGCATGATTTCCTTCTTTCTCATCTTGTTCTTTTTTGTTCGTGTTTTTCTTATGCCAAAAAAATTAGGAATTTACTGTCTACAAACATGTCTTCAGTCAATACCAAGAAGTTTCCCTGACAATCAAAACAGGAAAGTAAAACATTTAGCATAGAATACCCTTCAAAAATAATATCATAGAAAACGTTTTTTTAAAATTATAAGGGACTAAAATAATAATTTTCCTCTCAGGTAGTGGGGAATCGATGACCTTAGCGCTTATGGGGAAGATGAGTATCGCTTCGGCCTTCCAGATCCTCGACTTTTACTCCTCAGAGCTCTTTCCCACCGAGGTTAGGACGAGGGGCATGAGCACAGCCCTTGTCATGTCAAGGGTGGGGTCTACTTGTTCGCCTTTCATCACGGACTACTTGGTAAGTTTTTTTTTTCTTCTTTTCTTTTTTTTTTTCTTTCTTATTTTCTTTATTTTTACAGGAATAAATCATGGTGAATGTTATTATTATTATTTTTTATGGGAAGGGAATATTATGTAAGTAGTTTGAATGAGCTTGGATGTGTGTTTTAGATTTTTACCAATCACTCTGCATGACAGCAAGATATGACAGTCTTCTTGCTTTTTGTTTAAATCTCTATGATTTTTATAACGCTCTCTCTCCCTCCCTCCCCCCTCTCCTTTTCCTTCCCTGTTCCTTCCTACCTCCCTCCCTCCCTCTTCTTTCCCTCCCTTCCCTTCCTTCCCCCTCCCTCTCTTTTTCCTTCTTCCTCCCTTCCCTCCCTCCTCCGTCCCTCCCTCTCTTTTCCTTCCTCCCTCCCTCTCTTTTCTTCCTCCCTCCTCTTTTCCTCCTCCTCCCTCCTCCCTCCCTCTCCTCCTCCTCCCAGGGCCCCTTGTACCGTGGGCGCCGTCAGCAGTGTTTCGGGGCGGCGTCGGTGCTCGCGGGGCTGGCCACTCTCGCCCTGCCGGAGACGCTGCACGTGCCTCTCCCGGACACCATCGCACACCTGGAGGAGCGGGAGATCAGGACCAGGTAATTCGGCTGGAGGTTTACTTTGGGGTTGTTCGTCTGTTCCTTTCTTTATCATCCGTTTTTTATTCTTTCTTTCTTTCTTTCTTTATTAATTTTGTTATTGATGTTATCTGTGTTGTTAAGATCATTATCGTTGTCGGTATGATCTCTTCTGTTATTATTTTATTATTCATTTCCTGTTGTTGTTATTGTTTTTTTTTTTTTTTGTTTTGTCGTCTCCCCTAGTTTACTGTTTTTGCTATCTTTTCTGTTTGTTTCTTACCTTTTTCTGTGAGTGTTCTTTGCTGCTTTTTCCTTTTGAGAAAACAATATTTTTTTCTCTTTTACCGGTATAATGATTTTGTATGGAATTTTAAATTATAACTCTTGTCGACTAAGAGCTCTTACATTAATATCTGTAATCTCTGTAAAACAGACAGACTGACGGACAGATAAACATATAAGACTGACTGACTGACTGACAGAAGGGAAGACAGACAGACACAGAAGGAAAGACAGACAGACTGACGGACAGATGAACATATAAAACTGACTGACTGACAGAAGGAAAGACAGAAAGAAAGACAGACAGAGAGAGACTGATAAACAAACGTAAAGATAGACTAAAAGACATATAAACCAAAAGACAGACTGAGACAGACAGACAAACCGAAAGATAAACTAACTGAAGCGACGACATACATAATTATAGCTTTGAGTCCTATTTCCCTTCCTTCCAACAGCGGGTTCCTGCGACTCCCTGTCCGCGATCCCAGAATCCCTACCATTTACGTCAGCCAAGTGGATTAGGGGATTCGGGGGATTCCTCCTAGGGGATTCCACTCCAGGGGGATTCCACTCCTAGGGGATTCCACTCCAGGGGGATTCCACTCCTAGGGGATTCCACTCCAAGGGGATTCCACTCCTAGGGGATTCCACTCCTAGGGGATTCCACTCCTAGGGGATTCCACTCCTAGGGGATTCCACTCCTAGGGGATTCCACTCCAAGGGGATTCCACTCCTAGGGGATTCCGGGGGGATTCCACTCCAAGGGGTTCCACTCCTAGGGGATTCACTCCTAGGGAGGGGATTCCACTCCAAGGGGATTCCACTCCAGGGGAGGGGGATTCCACTCCTAGGGGATTCCACTCCAAGGGATTCCACTCAAGGGGATTCCACTCCTAGGGGATTCCACTCCAGGGGATTCCACTCCTAGGGATTCCACTCCAAGGGGATTCCACTCCTAGGGGATTCCACTCCTAGGGGATTCCACTCCAGGGGATTCCACTCCCAAGGGGATTTCCACTCCAGGGGATTCCACTCCTAGGGGATTCCACTCCAGGGGGGATTCCACTCGGGGGATTCCACTCCTAGGGGATTCCACTCCAAGGGGATTTCCACTCCAAGGGGATTCCAAGGGGATTCCACTCCAGGGGATTCCACTCCTAGGGGATTCCACTCCTAGGGGAGGGGATTCCACTCCAGGGGATTCTCCTAGGGGATTCCACTCCAAGGGGATTCACTCCTAGGGGATTCCACTCCTAGGGGATTCCACTCCAAGGGGATTCCACTCCAAGGGGATTCCAGGGGGATTCCACTCTAGGGGGGGGGATTCCACTCCAGGGGATTCCACTCCAGGGGGATTCCACTCCAGGGGATTCCACTCCAGGGGGATTCCACTCCTAGGGGATTCCACTCCTAGGGGATTTCCACTCCTAGGGGATTCCACTCCAAGGGGATTCCACTCCAGGGGATTCCACTCCAGGGGATTCCACTCCTAGGGGATTCCACTCCAAGGGGATTCCACTCCAAGGGGATTCCACTCCAGGGGATTCACTCTAGGGGATTCCACTCCAAGGGGGATTCCACTCCTAGGGGATTCCACTCCTAGGGGATTCCACTCCTAGGGGATTCCACTCCAGGGGATTCCACTCCTAGGGATTCCATCCAAGGGGATTCCACTCCAAGGGGATTCCACTCCAAGGGGATTCCACAAGGGGATTCCACTCCAGGGGGATTCCACTCCTAGGGGATTCCAAGGGGATTCCACTCCAAGGGATTCCACTCCAAGGGGGATTCCACTCCTAGGGGATTCCACTCCTAGGGGATTATTCCACTCTAGGGGATTCCACTCCTAGGGGGATTCCACTCCAAGGGGGATTCCACTCCAAGGGGATTCCACTCCAGGGGAATTCCACTCCTAGGGGATTCCAAGGGGATTCCACTCCAAGGGGATTCCACTCCAAGGGGATTCCACTCCTAGGGGATTCCACTCCAAGGATTCCACGGGGATTCCACTCCAAGGGGATTCCACTCCAAGGGGATTCCACTCCAGGGGGATTCCACTCCAAGGGGATTCCACTCCTAGGGGATTCCCACTCCTAGGGATTCCACTCTAGGATTCCACTCCAAGGGGATTCCACTCCAGGGGATTCCACTCCAAGGGGATTCCACTCCTAGGGGATTCCACTCCTAGGGGATTCCACTCCAAGGGGATTCCACTCCAAGGGGATTCCAGGGGGATTCCACTCCGGGGATTCCACAAGGGGATTCCACTCCAGGGATTCCACTCCGGGGAGGGGGATTCCACTCCAGGGGATTCCACTCCTAGGGGATTTCCACTCCAAGGGGATTCCACTCCTAGGGGATTCACTAGGGGATTCCCACTCCTAGGGGATTCCACTCCAAGGGGATTCCACTCCCAAAGGGGATTCCACTCCAGGGGATTCCACTCCTAGGGGATTCCACTCCAAGGGGATTCCACTCCAAGGGGATTTCCACTCCAGGGGGATTCCACTCCTAAGGGGATTCACTCCTAGGGGATTCCTCCTAGGGGATTCCCCTCCAACCAGGGGATTCACTCCAGGGGATTCCACTCCAGGGGATTCCACTCTAAGGGGATCCACTCAAGGGGATTCCACTCCTAGGGGATTCCACTTCCTAGGGGAATTCCACTCCTAGGGGATTCCATTCCACTCCAAAGGGGAATTTCCACTTTCCAAGGGGGATTCCACTCCTAGGGGATTCCACT